GATATGAATTTAACTTCAACTTTTTCATTATTTTTCATTGCATAACCGAATTGGCACTTAGACCAATTCAATGGTCTTTCCATCATTATCTCTTAATTAAATCATATTCAATCTTGATTCTTTTAATCACTTGAACACTCAACGCACTTGTATATTCAATTACACAATCTTAACCCTAATTAATATGCATAAGCTGAATTGAACCTACCCCTAGGGTTGTGTATTCAACTTCACAATCTTATTAATTATGTTAAACCACATTATACCATTCCTTAAACAACCTTTTGTAATTAAAAGATCACTCCTTGTCATTTGAACTTTACAAAACCGAATGGTACACATGTAGTTCCTATGTTATTTATTTAATTTACTATCTATGTAAATCACTTTTATCATTGATTAGTCATACATTAACCAACCTTTAACCATATTATCATGATCAACTATCAATCCTCACCAATTATGGAGTGTTTGGCCGAATGGCCATTACATAGCTTTCATGAAATTTCCTTTTAAACACTTGATCAATTTTCATTAAATCAATCATCTTTAAACACCTTAAAACCTTAGTTTCACTTAGGCATTTTATCAAAACACATGGTATGCACATTAAGCTCTCACTTGGCCGAATTGTATGTTGTAAAAATACAAAACCCTTGAACTTATTTTAAACATTTTCAAGCATAGTTTTACATATATTCAACAAACAACCTCAAAATCACTTTAAACCACATGAAATAACACCATATGATCATGGTATCATCAAACCATAATCAGCTATAAACATCAATAAATAATTACTTTCAACTATCAAAATGAAGATGTATCACTTATTTATCTTCCTCGTAAACTAGACAACTTTTTCCAACTTAAAACTTGTCAAGCCTCCAACTTTCTCACTCTTGATGAATAGTATTATCCCACTTTAAATGAATATTTCTCTCACTACAAGGCTTCTTAAGATGAAGAGAAAATGGATTTAGGTTCACAAGACCTAAAGTTATCACTTTTGTCCAAAAAGTGCCTAAATCACTTGGAATTTTCATGCTTTTTCTCTCCTAGCTAGGTTCGGCCATAGAAGAAGAAAACTTGTGTGGGACTCTTAAGGGAGATGAGTGACCGATTAGTGTTATAAATATCAACCAAAGTTACTTACTTTAACACTTTTGACTTTAACATCAAAGCTTAATTCCTATTGGTTGCTTTTCTTCACACTTAGCTTGTCATCTTCTTATACAACATTCTAGATCTCTTCCACATGAAGGAACCAACCTACATGTTAAAAAATTGCTAAGTTTGCTTACTTGTACGCTTAACACCTTTTGAATATTTAAACTTCGCATTCATTGGTTCATTCTTTCAATGCTTTTCAATCTTAATTCTAATTGGTTGGTCTTCATTCAATTTTGACCTTCTTGAATATGAAACATTCAAGGATACATAGAATCACTTATACATCAAAAATCATGCAAAGAATTCACAAAGTTATGTTACTAACGATGGTGGCGATGTCAGGATGATGGTAATGGTGGAGAGTTATTGAGAGAGACAATTGTTTCTCATTTTGTGCCCAAGAACAAAAAATAATTTTTTTATTCTTTTTTTGTTCCCAAGCACAAAAATTAAATTGGTTCATTCCGAGAACAAAAAAATAAACTGATTTACCAAATGAGTTTTCTATCCATTTTTGTTCTCGGGAACAAAAATTAAAAAAAGAAAAACTGATTTCAGGAAAGTTATCATACATACCCATATTGCCAAGACAACATCAAATACATCGTTGTGTCCTAAGTGGGAAACGTACATTTGTTAAATTTTCTAATATACATCATGCACATATTCATTCCCCTGAGGTAGTAACTTTTAGTCTTTGCTTCGTTTTGGGTAACAAGTGATGTAGGCACTAAGTGCTTAAAGTCCTTCAATTTTTTCAAGAACTACTAACACCTATTAAGTCGCCTTTTGATAACTTGACCGCTTGCTAAAAGCGGCTGAGCAAAACGAAAAATACTAAGAGTTAATAAAGGTATCATGGGCAAACTAGATAATTTTATAGGGTTTGGTGTTTGTCATTTTAAATGACATAAGTTATATCATTTTAGGAGAGAGATAGACACAAAAAATAAAAATCATGAGAGAGAGAAAGTGGATGGTTTTTTTAATTTAAATTTTAAATAAAAAATTATTTTGTGTATATTTCTCTCTTAAAATGATATAACTTTATGTTATTTAAAATGACAAACACTTTTTCCAAATTTATATAATTTTTTAACAAAGTTGAGGGCCGGCTTGGATGGAAAAAAATCTAAGGGAAGATTAATGATTAAACATAAATCATAGGGGATAAATGATTATAACAGATAGGGTTTTTAAAGTTTAGTCTAATAATAATATAATTATTAATTTTTCTTTTTCTTCTCTTATTTTCCAAAAATAAAAATAAAAATCAAATGAATTGAATTTTTTAGACAAAAGTTAATAGTCAAATATCATTATTAATAAAAATAAATTAGAATCATATTTATAAATATTTGAAAATTTAAAAATAAAATTTATTATAAATAATAATAATAATAATAATATAATTATTGATTTTTTCTTCCCTTATTTTCCAGAAAAAAATCTAGTTTTGAATGGATAGAAAAAAAGTCAATAGTAAATTCCTAATTATTGATAGTAAATTTGACAATGTTGATCTTTGATTCCAAGAAATTGCACGTGACCATTGATAAATATTTACGGTTTTAAATATTTATTTTTCTTAATATATTTAATGATAATTTTAATTCAATACTAATTTTAACTTTAGTATTAAATTGATAAATTTGATTAATTTAACACCCTTTACTTGACATTTACCGGAAGCATTTCCTCAAATAAATGTGGGGGGTTTAAGCCCGTTTGGATCAACCCGTAAAAAAAAGGACTTTTTATGCTTTATTTATTTTAGAAGTGTTTTTTATAAAAAAATAAAGCTATTTAGATTTTTAAAAAATATTTGATTTTTGAAAAAAATATTTAGCTTTTGACTTATATTTTAAGAGTAAATCCCCTTTTGAGTCTCTAATAAAAAATATGGTCCCCACTTTCGTCCTTTACAAAAAAAAGTTAACTTTTGGTCTTTTTACATTTTCAGTTCTTTGGAAATGTTGTCCCTTAGAAATTTAATAAAGACCAAATTTAGTCCCTAAAGAAAGACTAATATATGGCTTTTTTTATAAGAAAAGAAAATGGAGATCGTATTTTTTGTTAGGGACCCAAAAGAGACTTTAGTCATGTATTTTTTAGAAACTAAAATTTTTAGCTTAAAAAAAAGAATGTTTTGACTTTTTTGTGACTTATCCTTTTTTCTTAAAGCACATTCAAATAGATTTTGTAATGAGAAGTGTTTTTTTTTTTTAAATAACTTTAGGAGAAAAAAATAATCCAAACGGCCCAAAATAATTAACGTCTAAAGTTTTGAGTTTAAGGTGAAGTTAATTTGGTCACTTTGATTAAATATTGATAAATTAATTGGATAAGATATTATGCTTATTTATTTTTTCTTTATACCTACTCTGTTTCCTTATTTTGAATATAAGCTTTATGCTTATTATGTTACGTGATGTAACATAACAAACCTAACCACACATTTGAGAAGAAGAGAAGAGAGAAAAAAAAAGAGAGAAAAATCAAAAGATGAGACTTACATAAAATTGTATGTGTAGGAAAATTATGTTACATCATGTAACATAACAAACATAAAACCCTTTGAATATTGAATCAGAATCAGCAGAGAAAAATGGTAAAACTAAGTAGATATACTAGGCATAAAAAAATAGATATAATATCATATTCCTAAATTAATACATCATTTGAAAAATAAGATATATTGTTAATTTTTTTTTAAATTGACAATTTGATGCCTTGGTAGAAAGAAGGGAAAAACATCTATCCTTTTAAAGGATATAGGTTTATATCCTTTTAGATCTTAACTGTTGATTTCTGTCCATCAACGGTTATAATCTTTTGGGCCAAACTTAATGGGCCAAATTTATTATTAATTAATTAATAATTTTAATCCAATAAATTATAACCGTTGATGGACATAAATCAACGGTTAGGATCTAAAAAGATATAAGTTTATATCCTTTAAAAAGATAGATGTTATGTACCAAAAAAAGAAAGAAAGATAGATGTTAATGTTATTCCCTAGAAAAAAATATTATACCTAATTTTTTTTATACATACACTAACCGATCATCTCTAACACTATTATATCATAATCTCAACTAATTTTTGTTCTTTAATTTTTCTCTTAAAATTATGATATAATGATATTAAATTATAGCAGATAGAATAGATAGACATTATATTTTATCCCCAGTTTAATTAATCAGCCAGGATTTGAAGTAAGTAAAATATAAATACATATAGAGGAATGTTATACTTATAATTAATTTTTTACAACCTCTTACAACCATATCTTAACACCGTTGATTTCCGCCAATCAACGATTATCATTTATTATGAATTAATAATTAATTAATAAGTTTAATTTGCGAAAATTATAACCGTTGATTGGCGAAATCAACGGTGTTAAGATATGATTGTAAGAGGTTATAAAAAAAAGTTGTAAGTATAACCTTCCTCGTATATTTAACTAAAAAATATCATAAAATTTTACTTATGTTATTATTCCTCTAATTTCTAAAATTTAAAGTAACGACCCTCTTCCTATAAAAAAAAAAAAATCCTAAAATTTTAATTCTTGAACGAAAATATCCATAATTCACACGCCTGTGACTTTCCTCCCTCGTAAAACCCAATAACAAACAGGTTTGGCACACAGGTGGCAAACGACGCATGGCCCGTGACAATGCCAAACATCACAGGCCGTGAGAACAACATGGCCCGGTGACTGACGATTACTATTACTCACTCGCAGTCCACAAGCGAAAGAAAAACCGCTATATATATATAAAGCCAAAACGTGAGTAGAAGAAAAAGGGATTTGTGTCTTTAGGAGAGGAAAGTGTTCTGTTTGGTTGAACGAAAAATCTTGCCGCAAGGAATAGAAAAGTGCAAGAAAACATTCGTTTGCGGCATAAAAGTTCAAGAAAATAGGAATGGGGAGTGAGAGCAAGAATCGGAATGGTGACGGTTGCGGCGGAGAAGGAGGAGAGGCGACGGCGGCGCATGGTGTACCGGCAGTGGCGAAGAAGGTGGTGCAGAGAGTAAAGGAGATCGTGAACTGTACGGAGCAGGAGATCTACGCTGTGCTCAAGGAATGTGATATGGACCCTAACCGCGCAGTCGAGAAGCTTATCGCTCAAGGTTTTGCTTCTTGCATTACTGCGTCTTTCTTCGGATGTGTTCGTTGATGCAGTAGAATGTCTTCTTTCTGTTTGGTGTTTGGTTGCTGTGATAATTTGTGCAGATGAGAAATGTGTTGACTTTGTTTTTCTTGTTTTTTAATTTTTTTTAATGCTGGTTTCCTGAACATCGATGTTTTCTTTCGCTTTTAAGAGAATCAAAGAACTGATTTCTGAGTTCATTTTTGTGTGTTATGATTTATCTGCATTTGCTTATTTATTTAATTTATTTTCCTTTTTGTTTTCTTTCTCAGAGTCTTACAATTTTTGAATCATCATGTGATGATTTTTATGTATCGTTATGTTTGTAAAGTTTTCAATATTTTAATTGTAGATACTTTTCATGAGGTTAGAAGCAAACGTGAAAGAAGAAAAGAGGTATTCCTCGTATAACATTGCTCATTGACATTGAGATAATGTTGAACTTATTATGGGATTAATAATCTAATTCTTTTTTTTTTTAACCTCAAGATGAAGGAGGCCTTGGATTCGAGGACTAGGGGTAATAACTTGGGGTTGATTCGTGGAGGCAAAACTGGCACTTGCTGTGATCGTAGTGTTGTGCACGGTGGATTAACACATGTGACTTATAATGGTATCTTCTTTGATTGCGGAACATCACATAATTTCTGGTACATGCAGATTATATATTGGCGTGGGTTTTTACTATTGTCTTGCCTTACTTTGTCGAATATGTGTAACTTATGTCAGAACATGGTAAAGCTGTTGACAATGGAGAGGTTGGGTTAAAATGTCCTTTGGATACGTTTTCCACAACTCATGTTGTGGGGAAAAATACAAAGAGGTCAGTTTTTTCATGCAATCTGTTGGATAACGTGAATTAAAATGTTACAACTGATGGAGTATGGCTTGATGTTACTGTTGATGGAGTGTTACTTATTTGTATCAAAATGTTGCTATTAGTTTTTTTATTTTTTTCAAAATATTACTATTACTTGGTGTTTTCATCATGTGACCCGGAAGTCTCATGTTCAATTCATGTAGCCAGCCTCTTTCAAATGCAAGGTAAGCCTATAGCATTAGGTTACCCTTTTTAGGGAGAGACAGGAGAAGAATAAGAAATATTTAATTGCAGTTTATTAAATCATGATATAAATCATGGATCGCCAAACTAATTTTTGAATTGGGAATTGTATCCAATTGTAAGATTCAAAGTCACAATGAAAAATAGTTTAAAATTTATCATATAAATGATATATAATGTTCAATGTAAAAATTGTAAACTAGGTATTGACAAAATAACTTAATTCTCTCACAAAACAAAATTATGAGTCTTAAGTTATAATTAGGTCATATAAAATAACTGCGTGAAGCCTATGTTTTAGAAGAACAAAACTAGAGTAATGATATAACCAAATAAGGTTCATATAGAGTGATCAAGTGACTGAGTGAACCCTCTCTTTCAAAAGAATGAAAAAGATCAATAGAATAGTCAAATATAACGCATAGAGTGAGTAACTGTTTCAAAAGAATAAAAAAGAGCAATATAATAGCCAAATATGATGCATAGAATGAGTGAGCGACTGTGTGAATCCCTGTTTTAGAAGAATGAAAGCGGGTCAATGGAATAATTGAATATGGTCCATTCATTAGCGCTCCTTAAATTCGTTTTAATTTAACAATTTAAGCTTATTTGACTTCTCAATCTTTTTATATGAGAATTGATGAAAGCAAAGCAAAGAATGAAAAATAATTAATAAATCATTGAAGCATACAGTGTGTATTTGTGATTTGGAATCACAACAATTTATGAATTAATTGCACCATTCAAGCCATATTCTTTTCATCACATGATATGAATTGTTGGCCTACCGAATCGTGAGATTCAAATTGTGAATAGTAAGATCCCAACAACTATGGTTAATAGCACAAATTAATTTGTGCTATTAAATTTTTCTTTTTCTTTTGTTCCTCTCTCTTTCTCTCCAAAAATTAGTATTAATTTTTAACCTTTCTATATTTTTATTTATTTTGCTTTTTATTTTATATATGTATATATATTATTTTTTCTTATTTCTTATTTATCTTTTTCATAATCTATTTTTGCTTTTATATGGGTTCATCGGTTGCTGATTCCAACTAATTTGGGATAAAGGTGATTTTGAGAATTGAGAATGTTTTAACAATGATTTTTATAAGTTTTGTTCATGGTCAATCATTCTGTCTATTTTCTCTTTCTCTCTTGGATTTTTTGTTTTTCATTTGCTTCCATTTTTTTTAATACATTGTTTCCAAGTTGGTGTCTTGCAATAGGGTATTCCAAGTAATTGTCATTCCCCATTAGTCCATTATTATTTTTGTCATTGAAATTCAGCGCTTCCATCATGAATTATCAAGGAACTTGGTGGCTGATGAAGGAGGCAATTCAAGCCTTAGTGGGTGTTTTAGCATTTTTCCTAGTTTCAAACTCTCCTTGTGGGCACTTCGTTTCACTCTTGCTATTCAGTTATATTTGAAATGCTTGAGATTATGGGTTCTGCCAGCTGCTGCTCTATGCTATTTTCAAAGTTCATACTTGACAAACAGGTTATGGGAGGTATATCTCACTGGTACCAGTTGAGTGATGCCAATTGCCAAACACTTCTGTCGGCGCTGTCATGCATGTATCAGTTGTATTTAGATAACTTAAATAATCAGTGAATACTAATCTTTCTGGAGTATGTTTGAGTTCTTGTATAGCCTACACATATGATGAAAATATATGTTTTTATTTGCCTGTCTTATAACGTTGATATCACTGGCATTATATAGTTGCAATATGTGATTAATTTTCTAAATAAAATGTCTATGTATTACTTACATCTTCTTTAAAAATTTGATGCAGTGATTCTTTAAGTACTGATAATGGAAGACAGGCATTCAGAACAGGTGACTCCATGTCAGATTCTGCCCAAGTCTCTTCAGGACCTCAATCCTCATTGATAGGAGTGAGCAAAGGACATCTTTCAATGGCAGACGTTGTAAGAATGGGTACAACATCTCAAGTTGCTGTTTCACATAACCATTATAATACCTCACAAGTTTCTACAGATGGAAATTCAGAGTCAAGCTTAAGTCTGCACTGTCAAAAGCATTCTGAGCAGCCTGTTTTTCATGATGAATGGCCTGTAATTGAACAACCAATTACTGGAAATTCACATGCACTAAACATGTCTGCTTCATCAAATTCTAATGAGCTGTTCAAGCATCCTAACTTGCATGATACTGCAGTTAGTTTATGCATGAACCGTGAATTAGATGCAGCCCAAGTTTCACGGGGGAATGTTGCTATTGAATCTGCCTCTATACATAATGTTACGAGCAGCAACACTGGACTAGGATCTCAGTCGAACTCTAACTTAAAGAATAGTTGTTCTTCTGATTTTCATAGTTCTTGTGAGCATCATGACGGTAACTATTCCAACTGTTGTTTTAGATTTAGAATAGACTACTTCTCTTTTGTGCTATTAAACAAGGAACAGTTGCAAGATTGTGTGAAGTCTTCTTTATGGTGAATGATGATTTAATTGCAACCAACATGATTATGATGCTTTACAAAGCCATGATATTTTTTGGGATTCATACGTATAAGGACTACTGTAACTTAACATTAAAAAGTAATTTACTATCAAAACTGTAAAGAAATATAGAACTAGTTTTCTGTTTAATGGTCTGAGTGAAATGCACCTAGTAGCATACTATTTATACACAAGGAATTAGTAAATACAAGTGATATTTACAAGACCACTTCCCAGGTGATAGTACCCGCTAACATTTAATGCTAGTGCTCCACTATATATTAAGTATGACAATTTCCTATGCCACTAATGGTTCAACTTCCCACACTCCCCGTCAAGTTGGAGAAACATACATTTTCCATTCCCAGCTTGGATACTATATTCTAAATTGCTAAACTATTTAATCCTTTGGTGAATATGTTAGCAAGCTGTTGTTAAGTGGAGACATAAGGTGTGCAAATTAGCCCACTTTCAAGTTTTTCTTTGATGAAGTGTCGATCAACCTCTATGTGTTTGGTGTGATCATGTTGAACTAGGTTATGGGCTATACCAATTGCAGACTTATTGTCACAATAGAGCCGCATTGGTCCTTTTATTTTAATCCTTAAATCATCAAGAAGAATTTTAAGCCACAATAGTTCACAGACTCCTTGAGCCATGGCTTGGAATTCTGCCTCTGCATTGGATCGTGCCACTACATTCTGTTTTTTACTTCTCCATGTTACTAAATTCCCTTCAATAAAAGTGAAGTAACTAGTAATAGACTTGTGGTCATTTGGTGATCCTGCGTAATCAGCATCAGTGTATGCTTCTAGCAGTACCCCTCCTTCTCGTCTGAATAGAATGCCTTTCCAGGTGTCCCTTTAAGATAATGAATAACTCGGTATGCAGCTTGCAAGTGAGTTTCCTTTGGGTTGTGCATAAACTGACTTATTACACTTCAAGTAAATACAATGTCTGGTCTTGTGTGTGACAAATAAATGAGCTTTCCTACTAGCCATTGATACATTTCTTTGTTCATCGGAGCATCTTCAGCTAGTCCTAACTTTAGATTGGGATCAATAGGCGTGCTGGCTGGTTTGCATGCAGTGTTTCCTGTCTCCTTAAGAAGATCAATTACATATTTCTGTTGAGAAATAAAAATTACTTTCTTGAAGTGAGCAACCTCAATTCCAAGAAAGTACTTCAATCTTCCAATGTCTTAATTTCAAATTGACTGGCTAAATGTTGGCTCAAGGCTTGTTTCTCTTTATTATCATCCCCGGTCATAATAATATCATCAACATATACTAAAAGGATTGTACTCCCCCTGAAGGGGAATGCTTAATGAATAATGTGTGATCTCTTTGGTTCTGATGATATCCTTTGTCAATCATAGCTTCTGAGAACCTTGCAAACCAGGCCCTTGGAGATTGTTTTAGGCCATACAATGCTTTCCTTAATTTGCAGACTTTGTTTCTTGGGAAGACACTCTTGTACCCTGGTGGCACATCCATGTAAATCTCCTCCTCAATGTCTCCATGTAGGAATGCATTTTTAATATCAAATTGTTGTAAGTCCACATCCATAATTTGCTCCAAGAGCCAACTGTTGATATTCAGCTCTATTAAAGTCAACATATTCAGCCTATTTGTCTGCCATTTTCCTAGGCACTTCTCTAGGAAGCTGAAATGTCATAATTAATTCAGACCTGCTTGTGGGCTGTCAGCTACTTTTCTATTGTCTTATGCACTTCTCTAGGGGCTGAAATGATGTGTATTTATTTTTCCTCTAGGGGCTGCATTTCAGTATTTATTATTGTCTCTTTTTCTAGGTAGCATTAACTCTATTGGTTATTAGTTGGCAGGTTAGTTGTTATAGTATTAAATACTCATCTTGTATAAATATTTATGTGTAGAGCTGAAGATGATAAGTGAAAAAAATACAGCCTTTTGTGTGCTATCTCTGTCTCTTTTCTAATTTCTTGTTCTAAAACTTTTTCATGGTATCACAACTCTCATCTTGAGGGCCTGACCACCCTATCCCATGTCCACACTGTATTTTTGCTCCATGAGAGCACTTCAAACCACTGTTAGTGGTGAAACTTCAAACCCAAACAATGAAACACAAAACCCTACAGCCCCATCTCCTATCTCAAGTGAAAGTCCATCTCTTACCATCACTGGACATCGATTCAATGGAGAAAACTACTTGTTGTGGTCTCAAAGTGTTCTCATGCACCTCAAAGGAAGAGGAAAGGTTGGGTATCTCACCGGTGACATAAAAGAACCCAATGAGGATGATCCAAAACATGTGCAGTGGGCCTTAGAAAACAACCTTATTATGTCATGGCTCATTAATTCCATAACTGCTGAAATGTGAGAAAACTACATCATGTGCAAGTTTGCCAAACAAATTTGGGATGAAGTTAAGGCTGGTTACTGTTACTCCAAGAAGGATAACACATCAGCTCGATTTCAAGTTAAAAGGGTTCTAATAGACCGGAAACAAGGTGAGTTAAATGTTACCCAATATTATAATACACTAATGCGTAATTGGCAGCAAGTGGAGAAGGAGCGTATCTACAACTTCCTTCTTGGTCTCAACCCTTCGTTTGATGGTGCTTGCAATCATATCATGGCTACTCACCCGTTACCCTTATTAACGGAGGTGTTCTCTGAAATTAGATGGGAAGAAAGTCGTCAACAACTGGTTCAGCCCCATCAACATACTAATTCAGGTATGGAAGCTAATGCTCTTGTTGCAGGAAATATGTTCCTCATTGATGGCAAACTTGAGCGCAACGGGAGACTGTGGTGTGATCATTGTAACAAACTTGGTCACACCAAAGAAGTATGCTGGAAGTTGCATGGGAAACCAGCCAATTGGAAGTCAAAGTACTCAAGGGAAGGTAGAGGATATTCAACCTCTGTAGAAGATTCAGGCACAACCCCAACCCCCAACATCCCGTGACACCATGTCATCTTCAAAAAATTTGTTTAGTAAGGAACAAATTGAGTTCATTCAAAAGTTATTTGGCTCTCGTATTCCAAGTACTAGTGCCATTGCACAAGTAGGTAAATTCAGCCCTCCATACTTTTTCTGACAAAGATGATACTTGGATAGTAGATTCCGGTGCTTCTCACCATATGACTGGTAATATCTCTCTCCTCTCACATCTTCATAAGAATTTTGAGAAGAAAACAGTCACCTTGGCTGATGGTAATTCAATATAAGTCCAAGGAATTGGGGTGACAATAATTTCTAAAGGCTTTACATTGCAAGATGTTCTTTTCGTTCCCAAGTTATCTTGCAATTTGATTTTTATTAGTCAACTAACAAGAGACTCACAATGTGCTGCCATCTTTAACTCAAATGATTGCTCTTTTCAGGATTTGGTTTCGGAGCGGAAGATTGGCAATGCTAGGAGGGTGGGTGGCCTCTACCAAATCATTGCAAAAAATTGGACGCCTCAAGTTCTCATGACTCTTGCTGGAAATGACAAGGATGTGATGTTATGGCATTATCGATTAGGTTATCCAAATTTTGATTAGATGAAGAAAATGTACCCCAACTTATTCAATAAAAGATCAACTTTTCCTAATTGTGAGTGGTGTCAGATATCTAAACATGTTGAATCCTCTTATCCTCCAAAAGCCTATCAACCTTCTCAACCATTTTCTTTGATCCATAGTGATGTATGGGGACCTGCCAATGTGAAAAATGTCAATGGGGCTCTCTGGTTTGTAACCTTATTGATGACCACACTCGCTTTACATGGATTTACTTGCTGCACTCCAAATCAGAAGTATCTGAATCATTCCAAGCCTTTCACTCCATGGTTCAAACTCAATTCCATGCCCAAATTAAACGGTCAGATAATGCAAAGGATTATTTTAGTTCCAACCTCTCATCCTACCTTACCAAACATGGCATAATTCACCAAAGCTCCTCTGTTTATACTCCTCAACAAAATGCTATTGTCGAAAGGAAAAACCGCCACCTTTTAGAAGTCCGATATACCCTTCTTTTCACCTTCAATAATCCCAAGCATTTTTGGGGTGAAGCCATTCTTACTGCTGCATATCTCCTTAACCGCATGCCTTCCCGAATATTAAATTTCAAGTCTCCAATCCAACAAATCCTTCTTACCATTTGTCCATAAATTCTCTCCCTCCTAAGGTGTTTGGTTGCACTGCCTTTGTCCATAATACTTATGGTGGTGGTAAACTAGAACCTCGGGCCATTAAGTGCATTTTCATTGGCTATTCCCCTACACAAAAGGGATACAAATGGTATGATCCTTGTACCAAGAAAACCTATGTCAGCATGGATGTTACGTTTCTTGAAGACCAATTTATTATCACCAATTGCCCATTTAGGGGGAGAGTGATCCAAGACAGTCAAATGAATGTCCAATTGTTACTCCCACAAAAGACCAAGGCATCTTAAACTCCTTCATACCCCAGCCAACCTTACCAGCAATTCTATCTGAAGCCAACCCCATCATGCCATCTGAGACTGACATTCTTATCACTCCTGACCATGAAGAACCAAGAACCATTGATGCAATTAGAGATGAAGAGCAAACAATCAGTCAGCCAGACAACCCTCCTCCTAGACAAAGCCAATATGAGTCTCTTACACCAAATCTTGAAGATGACTTGCACTGGCCTATTGCTCTCCGAAAAGGGGTAAGAATTTGCACTAGACACCCCATTAATAACTATGTTTCATATAAAAAATTGTCTTCTCAGATGCAAGCCTTCGTGACCAATGTTGCTCTTGAGGCAATTCCAAACAACTTCCATGAAGCCATCAAATGTTCTGAATGGAGGAATGTAATTAAGGAAGAGTTGATAGCTCTCAACAAGGACAATACTTGGGATTTGGTTGACCTACCAGTTGGAAAAC